ATTGTTCTTCATACCACTTATTGCCCCCTAACACACACATATTTGTTTATTGGATTATTGTTCCTTCCACTAGACTGTAACTCCCTGAGACAGGAATTTTGTCTTTTTTGTTCAGTAATCCATTCACAAGGTCTAGAATATTCCTGACACATATTGGGAACCTAACACAGGTTTTAAGTAAGTTATTTTTAACATGATGAAGGATATATAAATAGCAAATTGGGGTCAGAGGATGTGAAATTTGAAAGCTCTTCTCTAAATATTTTCGTTCAGCTCTCTAACCAAGGATGCCCTCCTGTACTCTGCCTCCATCCATAGATTTGAGAATCATTATTAGGGATACTAATTGGAGCCATAGGAGTTGATGTCATTGCTAAGGAGAGTATATAGAGTAAGGAGAGAAGCATGTAAAGTAAGAGTGAGAAAGACCAATGTTCAAGGGGAAGGCAGAAGATGATGATTCCACAAACAATGAAGCAATAGCCAGAGAGGTAAGAAGAAAACCAGAATATGCTATATCAAGGAAGTTCAGAGACAGTATAAAAAAGAGGGTTAGGTCAGTAGTCTCTAATACTGCTAAGAATGGAGTCTAATGCAGGATTTTTTGTCTTTTGCAACAATGAGCTCATGGATGACCTTGGTAAGTTTCAGTAGAGTGATGTGTTGAAAGCAAGGAAGTGAAAACGTCTGCAATAGATAAAAATGAGACACTGTGAGGTTTATGGAAGGATAGTTTAAGGTGGAAAATACTTAAGTATATTTAAGTGCTCATTGCAGAAAGCCAATAGGAGGGAAAGGTTGATGATACAAGAGAGATGAGGATAATCCATATTACAAGGCTAAGAAGTATGGAGGGGGTGGGTTTATAAGACACATGACAGATTAGCCTTAGGTAAGAGGAGGCATATTTTTCTGTTGTAAGAGCAAGGAAGGTTGAAGATGCAGTTGACTCTTTAGATTTGGTGATAAGAAGTTGAGATAGCAATAATCTAAGAATTTCTTTTTCCTCTCAGTGAAGTAGGGGACAAGGTCATTTGCTGAGAGTGAGCATTTAGATGGTGAGTTTGAATGCTTGAGGAGACTGAGTTTCTACATAAAATGGCAGAAAGAGAGGTGCCTAGAACTACAAGTGAATTTCCAAGCCACTTTGAGAACCCAGTTGAGGTTGGTGATGAAGAATTGGAGTGGCACCATTCCTCTAGGTTGTATAATTATCTTTAGTAATTATGAAAAGTAAGGCATAGAGAGGTAACATAGCTTGTTTAAAGCTACACACCTCTCCAGTGGCATATTCAGATTTTAAGATCAAACCTAAGTCTGTCTAGCTCCAGACACTTTAAAATATTAGGCCATTCTGGTAGCAACAATATCTGATAATTATTTAAAAATTGAGTTTTTTCTCAGATCAGGCTCAGCATGGACATTGGAGTGTCCTTCCAAAAACCGAAGCTAGGTAAAACTCCCTTCTGATACTGCAGAGCCAATCAGAGTGTGCCTACATAAGGGAGATGATGTGGAGAGCCAAAGCTGCATTCATATAGAGAGGCATCAACTCTGGCAATCAGGAGCTACTACTAATGTTTAGCAGAGGTGTATGAGAGAAAAACAAGATTTAGTGATACAGTTGACCAAGAGTAGTTACTTACAGTCTCTATACTAAGCAATTAGAGATAGAATGATTGAGCATGTGCTTCAGGTAATAATAAAAATAATCATTCTGACTTAGATCAGAATAGGGGACAACAGCAGGAGACACAGAGAAGAGGCCTGAAAAAGAGAAGAACCAAACCCAAGAGAGAGGTGTCCTTTAACTACACGTGTGTGGCTAGGGGCTTAACTAATTCCTTAGTGGATGGGGAAGTGAATAGAAAAATCACACTTAATGTTATTTGTGGCTTGTATATTTGTGTGTTTCTGTGTGTGCACCTAAGATAACTTTTCAGAATGTTCAACTTTATTTGTATAGGCTTAGTCACTTAAAATCTTTTTCCTTTTTGTTTTTGTAAGATTTCTGAATAGACACTCTTTTGGATAGTGTCCTATGTAAGTGTTTAGACAAGTTTGACTTCAATCAATAAATGTGGTCAAAATTTTGTTTATATCTTTATAACATCATTTTTTAAAAGTTAGAAAGTTAAACTGTGGAAAAACATTTGCTGAAATATTGCACAAAGGTTAAAAATACTCAACATGTAAAGATCTTGTATAAACTGATAAGAAGCACTAAAATAATCATAGAGAAAAAGGTAGAGGACATGAACTGGTACTTCACAGAAAGAGAGATAAATGGCTAGTAAACATGAAAAGAAGCTACTCTCGCTAGTAATCAAAGAAACTAATTTTCGCGAAGTGTCAAATGGTAGCAGGATTCTTCAAACAAGCAATTAATTCATTACTTTTTAAAAAAGATATGGTGATATCAAACAAAAGACATACTGAAAATGCATTCTGAAAATTTAAAAAATGTTGATGTGTGATACATTTGATACATTTACCCTTTAAGTCAACATGGATTGGAAAAATATCATCACTAATTTTCAGTGAGTCTTTTATATTCCCATACTGCTGTTGTAAATATGAATTTGTACATTTTTCTGATAAATTCTATCTCAAGAAATGTTTAGAATTATGGTGAAAGATTTACATACTGAAATGTACATAGCACCGTAGCTGAGGCATATTTCTATGTGGAAGACTGGCAGAGAGGTATGCTATAATAAGAATCACACAGATGGACCATTGTCATTTTCTCTGACCCAGCTTCTTAACTGTGAAAACCTCCCAGGCAACCTTTTGAACGCCTTAGATCTGAGAAGGGTTTACTCGTAAGACGGGTTGTGTCCTCAAAAAAGGGATTTATTACGTTCAGAGGGAAAGACACTCAAATTGGATTTGATGGCTGTCCAATGCCTCTGCTTTCTTAGCAGATGCCATCATCCATCTGAGCAGCACACTCCAAGCAGGGACCTTTATTCTCATGTTCCAAGGATACAATTAAAACATTGCTTGATTCTTAATTATAAGCAAAAGAAACCTACTGACAGATTTAAGCAGAAAGATATTGAGTAAAATATTGGACAGAAGTCTAAGCTCAGAAACATGAAGAAATGATGAAGACTAGATAGTTCTCAGGACTCCAGCCAAATCCTGCACAGAAAGAGTCTGATGCAGATACTGAATCCTGGATTTCCTGCCTCCACAAATGCTGCCCTTGAAAAATGGATATTGCTGCCACGGTTACTCTACCACACAAATAGTTTCCCTACTGTTTCACTTTTAAAAGCATTATTAGTTTTGATTCAAAAACCTGGGGCTGGTACAGATAATGGATGAAACTTTGTCATGTGTCTGCATTCTAGCAACAGAGGAGGCTTGGAGTCATGAGAATCTGTTTTGTGGCTTCAAATTGTAGAAGATGAATTCTGCCTCCCACTAAAATTCATATGGTGGGGAGTGCTCCAAAAGAGACTGGTTTATTATTTAAAAATCCCCAAAAGCAAAAGGCCAAAAAAGAAAAAAAACCTAGCAAGAACCTACTGAACAAAAGGCATATTAAAAATGTACATTGGAAAATGTTATTAAATGTTGAAAAATATTAGCAAACATTCAGAATCTGCTTAAATTTTTATAAAATTCAGATGGAAGGAGAAAGGAGAATAGTGAAATAACGCTAGTTTAGTTTTTTCATTCAGGCAAATCAAGAAATATTACTTAATTGATAATATTGATAAATTAAGAAATATAGTCTTGAACATGGTGTTTAAAAATTGCAGAGAAGGACCACAAAATTAAGTGAATAAAATGATAAAAACAACCTTTAAAGAACCCCACAAAACAGAAAATAAATTACAAGAGCAAGAACAATCATAACTATAATAAAAATAAATGTACTAGGAACAAAACCAAAACAAAAATTCACAGAATGGATGAAAAATACTAAATTCAAGGAAATTAAGAGGAATATAGTGTATAATTTACAGTTTAGGCTCTGGAGTGTCCCTGTTTTGGTTTTAAAATCAATTCTGCAACTTAATAGCTATGGGACCTTGGGAAAGTTACTTAAAGATATTATGCTTCAGTTTTATCACTTGTAAAATGGTATGCACAGCACATCAAAGGAAAACTGGCTCAGAGGAAAATTCATGAACTTAAATACATTCCTAAAAAGAAAAAATAATGAAAATGGATAAATCGAGTCTTTAATTCAAGAAGTTGAGAATGGGAAAATACCCCCCCCCCAAAAAGGATTAATAAAGATACGTAGAGAAATTAATGAGCTACAAAATGTAAAAAAGTAAAAATAATCTAATCAATAAATAAAATGGAACTGGCTATTTAGAAAAGAAAAAACTGAAATAGATGAATTTGTATACTCTAATTTTTAAAAGTGTATTGTAGTAGAATGTAGAAAATTCATATGCAGAAAAATATAGTCACAGTTAAAAGGTAAACTGGTAAAACAAAATTTGCACACATGCTGAAAAGTGTTAATTTCTTTAATATTCAGATTTTTTAGAAATCAACAAGAAAAACCTGAAAAAGTCCAGTGAAAAATAGGTAAAAGACATGAATATACAATTTTCAGAGGAAATACAAGGATTTGAGGACTCAGAGTGGATAGCTTGGTCAAGAATCATCCATAACAGAATAATGCTTTAATAAAACTTTTATTTTTTTCTGGCTGGGTGGGCTACATATTGTAGAAATCTGGATACCAACCCAGGAAACTTCTGTGACAGTAGCCATCATTGAAACACCTATTCTATGGGAAGTATGAATGTCTGAGACAAAGCAACTCATAATGAAGCTCTCTGAATTTCAGGGAGATTATCTCACTCCACAATGCATGTATTTAACCCACCTATGCAATAAATATTAATAAATACATCCATAATCTAAGAAACTGGGTGAGACAGATGAAATGAAAGGGGCAAAATCAGATTAAATGTAAATAGCAGAAATATATAAGGAACTTTACTGTCTATATTGCTATTTTATAGGCTTTGTATCATGGGCCAAATTTGAGAGCAGTTATAAACATGTACTGCAGACTAATTCATCGTATTAGATATCGACTTGGTCTCTGGAGGACAAGACAAATAATAAACCTTTCAGAGATAGAGGAATGGATGGACAGAAAAAAATGTAAGTGATGCAGACTTTCTGATTTGATTTTAGGTTTGGAATTAATTTAACCATTGAAATTTTATGTATATTTCACATATAGTTACTTGTAGGCACCAAAGGTAGACCATATTTTATATTGCTGTAAGCTATTTGCATTTTAAGGTGACATATTGTATATTTGGATTCATTTATTAGGATCCTGTGTTTATAAGCACCAGAAAACTCATCGTGGCTAACCAAAGAAAGAAGGAAATTTAAAAGAAAGATATAGGAAAGATAACTAAAGTATCAGATTTCAGACAGAACTCAAACCTAAGCTGCTTCAGAGATCTAAGGAGTAAAAAATAAAGGACAATCTCTACTTGCTTCTGGGGGATAGATAAGCTAGTATCACCTTAAGACCTTTTGTTCTCGTGCTTTGAATTCAAATTCCAGGAAGACATCACTTGATTGGTTTAGCTTGAGTCATGTGTCCAATACTTTGCCATGGGAGGTCAGAGAGCTTTACTTGGGCATTGCACAGAGGCTATATCCATTGGGGGAGGAGTAACTCCCCCAAGTAAAACTACAAAACAGAAGAACAGCTAATGGACACTGAGAAGATTAAAAAAGAGATATCCATTATGTGTTGCTTATTAGTGTTCAAATTCTACCCACAAAACTAGTTCCTCAATTTATATCTTAAGTTTCTTAGATGTTGATTTCTATTATATTTAGTGAACTCTGTATTGCTTAGGATTAAGATAGATACTACAGCCAGTTTCTTGATTAGAAAATAATAAATGAGGAATTCTGGTTTCTGCTTCCACATGTATGGAGCTTGGAAGTCACAAGTCCATCGTAACAGGTAAAAAAGCTAAATGGACTAAAAAAATCAACAACTCTTCTTGGATCAATAAGAGAGAGGAGGACCCAGGGCAAACTGCTGCCCCCAAGATTGAGAGAGACACACATGTATACAGGGAGTCACAGCTTACCAGAGCAGAGACTCTTGAGCAGAAACTAATGTGGGAACCAGGGCCAGGTAGGAAAAATGAACTGTAATTCACAGATGGCTAGAGGCTCAGTGAAGATGATTCTGAGTGTTAAAAACTCCAGGAAGATCCAGTCATAGAGCGACCACCTCTGTATTGTGATATTTATCTCCAGGAGCTTGACCAGATTCCCACAGTATATATCTGAGAAACAATTTTGAAATATGCCAGAGTACTCTTTTCTTAACAAGCCCTGCCTTCAAGGGAAACTAGTTAACCAGAGCCTAACTGGCTGGGGTATTATTAGAGCCTACCTGACGTAGGGAAGGAAAATACCCAACTCTAGTCTACTCTGGCCATCCTGTCCCACCTAAGCAAGAGAAAAAAATTGAGAACCATTTGTAAGCTCACAGTCCAGAGACATAGGCTCACTAAGAGACTGAGATCTAATCACAGGACTATAGAACACTTCCCCCTCAACACATACTTTATCCCCATATTACTAAAGGTCTATTTACAGTAGTTCCTTTTACCCAACATGTCATGTCTGCCTATGCAGAAAAAATTTCAAGGTATACCAAAAGGCAAGAAACACAAGTTGAAGAGATAAAGCAAGCATCAGAATCAGACATGGCAGGGATGCTGGAATTATTAGACTGGGATTTAAAACAACTATGATCAATATGCTAAGGGCTCTGATGGATATAGTAGGCAGCATGCAAAAAGAGATGGGCAGTGTAAGCAGAGAGATGAAAATCCTAAGAAAGAACCAAAAAGAAATGCTAGAGATACAAAACACTGTAACAGAAATGAAGAATGTCTTTGATGGGATTATTAGTAGATTGGACGTGGCTGAGGAAAGAATCTCTGAGCTAGAAGATATATCAACAGAAGCCTTGAAAACTGAAAAGCAAAGAGAACAAAAACTGAAAAAAAAAAGAACAAAATATCCAGGGACTGTGGGACAACGGTAGAGGAGGAACATAGGTGTATTGGGAGTACCAGAAGGAGAAGAAAGAGAGAAAAGAACAGAAGAAATATTTGAAACAGTAATGACAGAATTTCCCCAAATTAATCTTAGACACCACACCACATATCCAGGAAGTTCAGAGAACACCAAGCAGAATAAACTCCAAATAACTACACCTAGGCATGTCATCTTCAAACTACAGAAAACCAAAGATAAAGAAAAAATTTTGAAAGAACCTAGATGGAAAAACACCTTGCCTATAGAGGAATAAAGGAAAGAACTGCATTTGACTTATCAGAATCCATGCAAGAAGAATGGAGTAAAATGTTTAGTGTTGAGAGAAAAACACCACCAACATGGAATTCTGTACCCTGTAAAATTATCCTTCAAAAATGAAGGACTTTCTTAGATGGGCAAGAATTGGGTGGAATTTGTTGCTAGTAGGTCTGCCTTGCAAAAAATATTAAAAGAAGTTTTTTAGAGAGAAGGAAAATAACATAGGTCAGAAATTTAGATCTACGTAAAGTTAAGAAGAGCACTGAGGAAGAAATAAGAGGGTAAAATAAAAACTTTTAATTTTCATATTCCTAAGTGATCTAACAGATAACAGTTTCTTCAAAATAATACTAACAATGTACTCACTTATCCATGGTTACGCATATAGCTTATTTTGCTTGTATATGCTAACATATCTATGCTTATGTATACTTATGTATAAGTGAAGTGAATGGCAGCAATTATACAAGGGATGGGAGGGAGGAATTAAGATTTTTTGTTATTGTAAAGTATTCAGATGACCCATGAAGTGGCATAGTGTTATTTGAAAGTGGACTTGGATTAGCTGTAAACATACATTGCAAACTCTACAGCAACCACTACAAAAAGTAAAAGAAGAAGTATAACAGATATGCTATGAAAGGGGAGAAAATGGAATCATATAAAATGCTCAATTAAAACTACAAAAGTCAGATTGAGAGCTTGGATCAAGATAGCAGAGTAGGAAGATCCTTTGCTCACCTTCTCCCATGGACATACCAGACTACAACTACATATAGAACTATTACTGAGGATGATCTGAATACTAGCAGAACAGATTTTCCAAACTAATAATATAAATAAAAAGCCACAATGAGATGGGTAAAAGGGGTGGAAAAATGGTCTAGTTAGGACTCAAACCCAGTGCAGTGACCCAAAAAAGGAGGGATATCACAACCGTAGAGGTCCTCCTGGACAAGTGAGGGGCCTGAGCCCCACATCAGCCTCCTCAGCCCAGGGGATCTTGCACAGGAAGACAAGCCCCCATAATGTCTGGCTTTGAAAACCAGTGGGGCTTACATTGAAGAGAGCTGGAGGGCTATAAGAAACCAAGACTCTTATCTTAAAAGGCTCATGCACAAACTCACTCTCTCTGTCACAGCACAGAGGCAGCAGTTTAAAAAGTGCCTGAGTTATATGTGAAGGTGATTCATTGACTAATTTTTGGGCACGTGCCAAAGGGGTAGAGGTTTGTTGCAACATTCTCCGGGGACAGAAGCTCTGGCAGGCACCATTTTTTTTTAACTCTCCTTTCTAGCTGGCCTGACCCTGGCAAGCACCATTTCTGACACTCTCCGTCTACCTTACTAGTACCACTTGCCCCACCCTGGCATTCCCTTGTGGGCCTGCTCTGGCTAGTGCCCCTGCAAAGTGGCCCCAACTCTACCCCACCAGCCCTGGCCAGCCCTGGAGCTCCCACTCTGGGGGCCAGCCCCACACACCAGTGCACCCACAGCAATTGTGGCCCAGTCACAACAGAAGGGCACACACAACCAAGTAGGGGACACACCAGGAGCACCTGACTCTGGTGATCAGACAGAATTATGCCACTGAGCCCCACTGGCACCTTCAACATAAGGCTACCACTTCAGGACCAAGAAACAAAGCTGATCTACCTAATACATAGAAATACAGAGAGTTAGGCAAAATGAGGAGACAAGGGAATATGTTCCAAATGAAAGAACAAGACAAAACCTCAGAAAAAAGAACTAAGTGAAACAGAGTTAAGCACTCTACCAGACAAAGAGTTCAAAGTAATGGTCATGAATATGCTCACTGAACTCAGGAGAAGAATGGATGAACACAGTGAGAACTTCAACAAAGAGGTAGAAAATATAAAAAACAACCAATCAGAGCTGAAGAATACAATAACCGAAATGAAAAACACACTAGAGGGAATCAACAGCAGATTAGATTATACAGAGGAATGGATCAGCAGTCTGGAAGAAGAGCTAGTGGAAATCACCCAAGTGGAACAGCAAAAGGAAAAAGAGTAAAAAAATGAGAATCACTTACAGGACCTCTGGAACAACATCAAGCATAATTACATTTGCATTATACAGGTCCCAGAAGGAGAAGAGAGAGAGAGAAAGGAAGAGAAAACCTATTTGAAGAAATAATGACTGAGGACTTCCCCATGCTGGCAAAGGAAACAGGCATCCAAGTCAGGAAGCACAGAGAATCCCAAATAAGATGAACCCAAAGAGGCCCACACCCAGACACATTATAATTAAAATGTCAAAATTTAAAGATAAAGAGTCTTAAAAGCAGCAAGAGAAAAACAGCTAATTGTTTTCCTAACTAAAAAACTAAACTAACTAAAATAAGAAGGGAACCCCCGTAATACTATCAGCTGATTTTTCAGCAGAAATCTTACAGGTCAGAAGGGAGTGGCACAATATATTCAAAGTGCTGAAAGGAAAAAACTTACAACCAAGAATACTCTACCCAGCAAGGTTATCGTTCAGAATTGAAGGAGTGATAAAGAATTTCCCAGACAGGAAAAAGCTAAAATTATTCATCACCACTAAATTAGCCTTACAAGAAATATTAAAGGGACTTATTTAAACAGAAGAGAAAAGGTCATAACTAGAAATAAGAAAATAATGAAGGAAAAAACATCACTGGTAATGGCAAATATAGTAAAAGTGGTCAATCAGCCATCCATATGACTAGTTTGAAGGTTAAAAGACAAAAGTAGTAAAATCATCTATGTCTACAATAATTAGTTAAGGAATACACAAAATAAAAAGATGTAA